GAGAGTGTTGATAGAAGACAAGGAGGGGGTTTCAGAGACTCCTTGGCTTGGTTAACTCATGCTATAAAAAGGTCAGGAAATAGATGATGCCAACTTGAAAATTTCTTAGGCCAGAGGAGAGGAGGAAAGACGTGGGAAGTACTTATTTTCTGATTATAAAAGAGCTTCTGTACATCCAGAAGAATAAAACCGGCATAATTGCATCTACTTAGGTAAAAAAACAATGTTTGTACCCATCTAGCACATGTTCTCTTTTATGTCGCATATACAAATAACACACGTGCAGTTATACAGATTTTACCCAAAAATGGGATACTGTGAACATGTGGAAACTTATTTTACTTAACAGTGTATCATCTTCCCATATTATAGGTATGTGACATTTCATAACATTAAAAAAAGTCCCAGTTGTCATGAATGACCACTATCAAGAGTTTAGTCTATATCCATTATGGTATTTCCGAGGCCTGTACAAATATACACACAGAGTTGGCACATGTAATTTTTTTTTTAATGACAAGTAAAGAGCGTACTGTTTACACTGTTCTGCAATTTGCTTTTCCCCTTAATATTTTGTGGTAATGCTGTCACATCAGTGTGTATTCATCTAATTCCAACAGCTGGTAAAAATCAGTCAGATGAATGCAGTATAATTTATTTGAATTGATGGGCTTCTAGATTATTTTTAGTTTTTTTTTTGTTTTAGTGACTATTCTTTCACATATATATTTATGAATTTTGTGCAAGTGTATATGTAGGATAAATTTTAAGAAGGGGAATCACAGGATCCTAAGATAAGTGTAATTTATTCAAAGTGCCCCATATGTGTGTTTTCTGTATTCTTCATAATTGTTTTCCAATGCTTTCATCTGTTTGTATTCTGTGATATTTCTTAAGATTCCCTCGGTGTTCCGATGTCTTTAGCAATATCCATTCTGCCTTTTGGTTGCTTCTGAGAGGATTTTGATTATTTCATGATATTGTCTTTATATCCTGTGTCCTCAGTGAGCTGTAGCAGCTTACTTTTCAGTTGTCTGCCCTGTCTGTCTGTACTTTTCTTCTCTCTGATCTGCTTTCAAAAAATGATCTGGATCACTAATTTCTTTGTAGAGAAACACACTTAGTTATTCCCTGTTTAGGACTCTTATTTATTTACCTGTGATAGGGCACAAATCAAAAAAGCATTCAGTGAAAAGTTTATCATCATAACACAAAGGTGTTTAGGGGAAAACATTGTAGTTTTGCTCCTCTTGTGAAATCTGGCTAAAACTGCATTCCCTCGAATTATATAAGGTGGTGAAGAAACGGTGCTCTGTTGCTTTTTCCCCCCATCTGTCTTCACATCATTTCCAAAGATACATTTTTTTTTTCTTTGCTTTACCAGAGGTATGAGTCACACTGTCTCACGTTGGATTCACTTGGATAGGCTGTTGCAAAGATTATTCTCTGATAGGTTTTTCCCTTAGTGAGATAATATTTTACTCATGTGTTACGTTAAACACAAAGAGATGGAGTAGGGTTCAGAAAATGAGTGAAGATGGGGCGCCTGGGTGGCGCAGTCGATTAAGCGTCCGACTTCAGCCAGGTCACGATCTCGCAGTCCGTGAGTTCGAGCCCCGCGTCAGGCTCTGGGCTGATGGCTCGGAGCCTGGAGCCTGTTTCCGATTCTGTGTCTCCCTCTCTCTCTGCCCCTCCCCCGTTCATGCTCTGTCTCTCTCTGTCCCAAAAATAAATAAACGTTTAAAAAAAAAAAATGAGTGAAGATACAGAACTAAATATGGTTTCTTTTTTATTAATATAAATTCTGAGGTAGTGGTCTGAAAATAGATTATATGGGTTTTGGGTGACATGATTATATTTGTCTGGGCTTTTTTTTTTTTTATTTTTTGTCTTTAGTGTATTTTTACTTTTTTATTTTATGTTTTTAATGTTCCTTCATAGGTCTGTTAAATACTGGATTCTATTTGCTTTAGTACTGCACTGTGAAGAGTGTTCTGCCCCAGTCTGCCATTCAGGAGTATTGTAGGTAGAGCACTGGGGTAATTAGAGGTGTCAAATCCGGGATGTTGTCTCAGAGCACCCTGGCCTCCCCCAACCTCCTTGTCAGGGGCCTGGCATGTCACAGCACCTTCCGGTAAGCGGCTCATCTAGATAACCAGTCACCCTCTTTCCTGAGTGTGTAATCTTTGCTCATTATTGACTTTGGTTAGCAGCTGCAAAGGTGATTGCTTTTTCCCATCTCTTTCCCCAACTCCGCCCTTTCAGGAGTCAGAGAAGGGGAACATGCCTTGTGCGCTGTTCCTCTGTCTTTCAGTGTTGTAGTTATTTAGGAAGAGATGTGTTCTTTTTACACTTTTGTTTTTAATGTTTATTTTTGAGAGAGAGAGCGGCAGAGAGGGAGACAGAAAATCCAGAGCAGGCTCTGAGCTGTCAGCAGAGTCTGACGTGGGGCTTGAACCCATGAACTGGGGGATCATGACCTGAGCCGAAGTCAGACGCTCAACCAACTGAGCCATCCAGGCACCCCCTTCGGTGTTATTTTTAACATGATTGCATCAACAGGGAATGCATCTCAGTTACTCAGTCACTCTCCTGTCTGGCATCTAGAGTGCTGCTTATTTCTCTCCAGTATAAAGTGTGTTTGAATACCTTTTCAGACCTTAATACTGGTGTTTGAACACCTTTTCAAACATTTATACTGGTTAAGACCTGGGGTGCTAGAGTTTGAAGGTTTGGATGTGAATCTCAGCTTTCCTGCTTCCTGTGTGGGCCTGCACGAGTTGCTTAACTCATCCTTGCCTCAGTTTTTCTCATTGTAAAACTGGAGTAGTGCTACTGTACCAGTCCTAAGGATTAAATGAGATCTTCATGTAAATCTCTTAGTAAAGCACTTGGAGCCTTAGAAGCTCTCGCTAGGACCCTAGACGCTCTAGGATCATTGTTTTCTTTGATGAGTTCCCAAAAGTAGAATTGTTGTATCATAGCACAGGAATATTTTCAGAGTTTAGATTTGCATTACACTTTTGCCCACCAGAAAGATGCTAGTTGACTCAGGCGCTGTGTTTGAGAATTTTCCTTTTCTGGAAACCTTGTGTTGGCCTTTGTATTTTGTATGGCACTTAAGGCAAGTCCCTTTGCCTCTGAGGGTTTCTGGCAGTTGAAGAGAACTCTATGGGTAAAGAGGAGTAAAAAGGATTATTGTCTTGCCTTGGCCACATAAACTTTTATGTTTATATCTCGTTTTGAGAATTTGACCCCCTTGATCATTTTGGCCTGTAAGTAAATATTTTAATTTTTCTTTTAGCTATTATTTATAGTTTCCAAAATGCCTCCTATAAATTATTTTCCATTTCATTCTTACAATAAACTTCTCCAGTAAGTAAGTTGATATGTATATTGAGGAAACAGATCCAAAGATACTTCAATTTACCTGGAGGAAACAAAGCTAATGAGAGGAAGAACAAGGACACAAATGGTACTCTTCTGAGTCCTGGTATGTTGCTCTTTATCTTGTACTGTTGAGACCTCCCTTGCCTTTCTCACAGTCCTACTTCAATTCTAGTCATTAATCACATTTTATTATTAAAGAGACCACTAGGATTTATCCTAGTTCAGAATAGAATAGCATCATAATTCTTTATTAGAAATTAGAACCTAGAAGCACCTGGGTGGCTAAGTTGGTTAAGCGTGGGATTTTGGCTCAGATCATGATCTCCTGGTTTGTGGGTTCGAGTCCCGGATTGGGAGATTCTCTTTCTCCCTCTCTCTCTACCCCTCCCCCACTTGCGCACCCTCTCTCTCTAAATAAATACACTTAAAAAAAATTAGAATCTATGCGCATGCATACAGACTTTGGTTTTATCTCTACGGTGAAAGAGTATAAAATTAGAACTCCACTGAAATTTAGGGTTTTTTTTTTTTTGCAGTTCTGATGGAAACTAGTTGATGTTTGATTTTGCGTATAAATCTTTTCGTAGTGTAAACTTACATTAATCGGATGCCTTGAAAACCTCAACTAGGTTAATTCTTGGTAAGGCCAGTTTGGTTGAAACTAACCATTTCTTAAATCTTTATTGATTCAAATTTTTTAGTTATTTAATGATTTATAATTCACTTCCTATTCTCATTCTTTACTATAATAAAATGTTTTTCTTCCAGCGCTCTGAACCCAAGGGCCATATTGCTTTATTCTCCCCTGTATCCATAGCATCGAGTCCAAGTAGATTTTAAATGAACAAGGTACTGTGGTCAGATGTGAATTTTGAATGGTTAATGCCCAAGTTGATTTAAACTCTCAAAGGTACTGCCTTAAAACATTGATAAAAAGTTTAAGTCCTTTAGTTTCAGAGTTTCTTCCAAGAGGGGTGTGTGTGTGCACATATGTGTGTGTATGTGTATACACGTGTACATGTGTTGTAAGTACTCTTAATCATTTAACTTGGATTTTTTTTTAACTCTAGTCATTGGTATGCTGTTAAGATGGCTAAATAAGGAATTTGTTATTGTTTATGTGATTTTATTTTACACAGATTTCATATTCTCATTTGTATATTATCAAATATTTCTACCCAAGAAATAAGGTGTAAAAAACATTCACACATTCACGGTTGCTGTAGGGTTAGAGTGACTTTTGGGAGACAAGAAGGCTCGGATTTTTTTGTAATCTTCACTATTTTAGATTTTAAAAGGTTTTCTAAACACTTCTTATTAAGACTTTCAAGTATTTTCTTATTTGTAAAAACACAAAAATAAAAAAACAAAAAAAACTCACAAAGGCAGTGAGATTGAATAAATAAGGGTAAACTACTTTATAATAATTGTTTATGTCTCAGAATTTTTGTTTTATGTTTTAATTTTTTTAAATGACTGAATTTAAAGACCTTATTTTAGGACAAAATGCTTGCCTGAATCACTGAAATCAGTAGTTTTCTTTTCATGTGTTTTCTTTAGGTGTTTTATGGACTAATTCTTCATTGATTACACAGAAAAGCAATATAGTTATGGCAGCCATCCAGACTTCAAGAAACAGTCACGTGAAGACTAGAGCATCTGTCAGAAAAGTAAGTTCACTGTGTTAGATTTCTTTTAGTGATAGTTTTAATAAAAATGTTGATCATTTTTTAAAATCTCGTTAAGCAGCTGTATGATATTCTTATTTTTAAACGAATCTCAATATTGTAATTAGTAATATTAAAATCTTGCAGAATTGGCATATATGAAAATAGTGTTATGAGGTAATGGAGACAGTCAACTTTATTTCCCAGAGATTGCAATGCCTCCCCATTTCTTCTCAACAGATAGTTTTCTGTTTTTTATTTTCTCAAGATCTTCCATCTTTTAGCAATGTAAACATCAGCTATAAGTTTTCTTACGTACCTTTACCTTTGCCCCAAAATATTACCATTTACTCATTCATTCAGCAAATGTAAATTTGAGTGTTTATTATATTCCAGGCGCTGTGCTAGGTATTGGATAATCAGTAGTGAGCAAAATAAATATGATTCCTGATCCTTTGTTTGTAGTTGGTGGAAGAACCTTCCTTTTTCCTCTTAAGACAGTTTGGTTACTCTTCCATTTCTTGACCTTTTTTTCCCCTAACATTTTATTATGAAAAATTTCAAGCATAAAGAAGAGTTAAATTCATAGCACACCTACACATAAACTTTCATACGAATCAACCATATTCAACAGTTGTTAATAAAGTAAACATTGAACAATGTCAGAGTTAGGAGCATCAACCCCTGTGCAGTCAGAAATCATGTACAAATGTTGGTTCCCCAGAAACTTAACCACTAACAGCCTACTCTTGATGTGAAGCCTTAACAATAACTTAAACAGTTGATTGACCCATATTTTGTATATGTATTATATTCTGTGTTCTTAAAGTAAATTCTAGAGAAAAGGAAATATTAAGAAAATCATAACGAGGAGAAAATACATATACGGTATCGTACCATGTTCATTGAAAAAAATCCACATGTAAGTGTACCCATGCAATTCAAACCATGTTGTTCAAGGGTCAGTTGTATTTTGTTTTATTTACTCTCTGTGTGTGTGTGTGTGTGTGTGTGTGTGTTTGTGTGTACACACACGTGTCTACCTTGTGGCAGAACCAACTTGAAAGTTATGGTCTTAATGTCTCTTCACTCCTGAATACTTGAGTGTGCTTCTCCCAGGGATCACAGTATCCTCCCACATAACAATAATACAGTTATTGTATAAAAGTAGTGTGAGGATCACATTCAAGAAAATTCAGTATAATTTCCTACTATCCAATACCCAGATGTACTCAGATTTCCTTTATTATCCTTGAAATCTCTTTTGCAGTCCTCCTCACCCCCAGTTTGGATTCAGTCTAGGCTTCTAGGCCTTAAGTTGCACTCGATAATTATGACTTATTTATATTACTTTTGGTCTGAGAGTTTCCCCTCTTTTTTTTTTTTTTTTTTTTTTTTATTTATTAAAATTCAAGACTGACTTCTTGAACAGGCTGGACCAGTTTCTTATACAATGTCCCACATTTTGGATCTGTCTGGTTGTTTTCTCACAGTGGTATTTAACTTATTCCTCTTTCTTCTCCATTTCATAGATTCTAGAAGTTAGGTGTAAATGCTTGATTAGATTCAGGTTAAACATTTTTGGCAAGAATAATTTGTAGAATGATGTGAAGACAGAATTTCAGGTTTTCCTGTGATCAGTGATACAAAAATTGATCAGTTGATGAAGGTAATCACTCTGCCAGAACTGTCCATTTTATTTTATTTTATTTTTTTTATTATTATTTTTTTTCAACGTTTTTTTAATTTTATTTTTGGGACAGAGAGAGAGCATGAACGGGGGAGGGGCAGAGAGAGAGGGAGACACAGAATCGGAAACAGGCTCCAGGCTCTGAGCCATCAGCCCAGAGCCTGACGCAGGGCTCGAACTCACGGACCGCGAGATCGTGACCTGGCTGAAGTCGGAAGCTTAACCGACTGGCCACCCAGGCGCCCCAAGAACTGTCCATTTTAAAAGTATATTTTATATTTTCTAGTTATCACATAATCTGTGAGGGTGATACTTGGCTCTGTGCAAGTATCTTGTTTTTTCCAGCAACCTTTTGTCTAATATATTTGGCATCCTTGATGACCCTTTCCAGAATCTTATTTCCTGGAAGCTGCAAAATGATGATTTTCCAAATGTTATCATTCCTTTTACATTTACTAGCTAGAATTCTTTTATTTTTTTTTAGCTTTTTGAAATGTTTATTATTTATTTTTGAGAGAGAGAGAGAGAGATAGAGAGAGACAGAGCATGAGGCGGGGAGGGGCAGAGAGAGAGGGAGACACAGAATCCGAAGCAGGCTCCAGGCTCAGCTGTCAGCACAGAAGCCGATGCGGGGCTCCAACTCACAAACTGTGAGATCATGATCTGAGCAAGTCAGATGCTTAACTCACTGTGCCATCCAGGCTCCCCAGTTAGCGAGAATTCTTAAAGAAAAACTTTCTCTCATTAAGGTTAAATGAACTACAGTATCACCTAAAAAGACATGGTAAATGCCCTTGAATTACCAGTTTTCAGATTAGTGATTTGGTGTAATATGCAAGTGAGTTTATTCTCATTCCTTCATTCATTCATTTGTATTGCTCGACGCATGGATTTAAAAATTCTCTATTTTCCAGTCTTTTATTTATAGTCATTTATTCATTTACTTATTAATTTAAGTTGCTCAGAGGGTCTCTAACTTGGTCCCTGGGAGTCCCTCTAAGCTGGTGCCTGTGTCATTTTGTCTCAGGCCCTTAATTCTTTGATTGCTTCCCTACTTTCTAGTATAACAGATTGACCCAGTTTCACCATCTACTTACCCTTCCTCAGACCTGAAATTGGCTATTTTCCCAAAAAACCCTGAATAGTATTTAGGAAACAAGTACCCTGGGTACTAGGAGTACTCATTGTCCTTTCAGTGTCATGAATTTATATCAATAGTTCAGGTTCAGATTTCAGATTTTTTCCTTTTTTTGAGTTGTTTGTACATTATCCTGAAAACCTCCACTCATTAATGAAAACAGAATCATTTAAAACTTAGAATATTTTTTAAAGTTTATTTTTACTTATTTTGAGAGAAAGAGAGAGCAGGAGAGAGGCAGATAGAGCGAGAGAGAGAGAATCTACACTGCCAGTGTAGAGCCTGATGTGGGCCTCGATCTCACAAACCACAAGATCATGACCTGAGCCAAAATCAAGAGTTGGATGCTTAACCGACTGAGCCACCCGGGCGCCACATAGAATATTTTTAAGCCCATAGAAAAGCTGAGGAAAAAAAAACTCAGTACAATGAACACTATATACTCTTCACTTAGGTTCACCCTCTGTTAACATTTTGCCAACCCATTCTGTTTGTGTGTGTATATAAATAACACGTGCACACACAAACGTACTTCCCTTTTGAAACCATGTGAGAGTATGTTGCAGGCATCTCTTAGGAACATCAGCATCATGAGAGCCCCTCAGAAAATTATTAATTCAGTAGCATCATCTAACATGCAGTTCATATACAAATTTCCCTAATTGTCTCAGATATCCTTGATATTTTTACTTTGTTCTTCATCTAGGTAGGATCCAGTAAAGATTCACACTTATTTGGGTATTGTGTCTCTTTGGTCTTCCCCCAATATCACCAGATATCACCAATATAAAGACATGTATCCTTTGTAATTAGTACAGTTAAGTAATCTGTAGGATGATGCTGAGAGACAGTATCCTGTTCTCCTCCAGTAGGTTTTAACCCAGTGATTAAGATACATTGATAGTTTTTCCCTAAATCACTAATTACTTTGGGAGTTACAAATGGCATTTTTAAATTTTGTTATTCTTTCCATATTTGTCATTCAGCCTTCTTATATATACACATATTTTCCCCCAACCCCCATCCTTTTATCTGTCTCTTTTAATGGATTCATAGATTTTTTTTTAATCCAGTTATTATGATCCATTAACTATTTTTATTCTTTAGATGCCCAAGTTTGGCCAGTAGGAATTCCTTCAAGTTGGCTTCTGTTTTCTTTTTTTAATTCCAGTGTATGTATGTATGTACATACACTGGAATTAAAAAGTAACATACAGTGTTATATTAGTTTCGGGTACACAATATAGTGATTCAACAATTCTTTGCATCACTCAGTGCTTCTCACAACAAGTGTGCTCTTAATCCCCTTCACCTATTGCTTCTGTGTTCTTTTGAAATGACCCATTTAGTCCCTGAGGTCTTCATTGCTTTCTGTCACAATTAAAATGTTCCATCCACACATCATGTTTTCTCTGCCTCCAGCTTGGAACCAGCCATTTTCCTAAGGAGCTCTAGTTCTTTTATTAGCAAATGGTATTTAGAAACCAAAATCTGGGTGCTGGGTATGCTCATTACTACTGAGGGTCATTGCTTCTGTGATCTTTTTTTCTTTTTTAATGAATTTATTTATTTAGAGAGAGGGATGGCACGAGTCTGGGAGGGGCAGTGAGAGAGGAAAGAGAGAATCCCAAGCAGGGTCCTCACTGCCAGCTTAGAGCCCAGTGTGGGGCTGGAACCCACGAATCTGCAAGACCATGACCTGAGCCGAAACCAAGAACCAGACCCTTAAACAACTGAGCCACCCAGGCACCCTGCTTCTGTGATCTTTTAATGGAAAAATGTAGTACATGTGTTTAAAGAATCATGAGTTCATATTGATAATTCGTATTCAAATTTAACATTATGTTATTTTCTTGACTGCTTTGGTTTCATATTACGTGTATCTCTTAAACCAAAGATTTCCACTAATTTCTAATTTATTAAAATTAGAAAACATTTATTGAGTTCATATAGTACGTGAGGTACTGAAATCTGAGGAAACATTGAATAAAATGTAGTCTCTGACCTTAATAATTTAGTTTAATGGTAGGAAAGACAAGTACATGTAGAGACAGTAATGGTGATGTGTTATGATATGGACTTCATGATCTCAGTGTGCAGACAATACAATAGAAACTTTGATAATGACTAAGGGGTGAGAAAATCTTTATAGGTCTTGGACTGGGTAGGATTTCTACAGGGGAAGATTAGAGAGTAAGGACATTTCTGATAGAAGAGCAGATCAACAAATCAGTGGAAGGAGAATATGGTAGAAGGAAATTAACGTTCTCTTTATGTCTGACTATCATACTCATTATTTTCTTTATATAAATTTTTCTTCCATCTGTTCCTTTGCACTTGTGACCTTTCTTCTACCAAATCTGGAAAGCCTTATCATCTAGTTGTGTTAAGACCCTGAAAAGCCTTAGTTCAGGTTACTCTCTTTCTTTTCCATCTCCAACTTTGTTATGAGAATAATCACTTTTGTTAGCATGCCTTATTACAGTTTCCACATCATCTCACTCCTTATATAAATTGTTGCTTCTGTTCTGCCAATGACTAGGAAATCAGGCATGTAGTCTGTTGGGTTTTAGTGTAGGGTAAGAGTAAGTGTACCCATTGTGAGGGCCTCATGAGCTTCTAATAGGTTGAATGCCTGGGCTATGGTGTGTGTGTGTTTTGATCACTTGGAACTCTACTTAAATAAGCCTTTTGTTCTTTCTTCCTCTCAGCTCTATTGAATTCTGTAGATATTCTGTAGATATCAAATGCATATTAATTGGAGAGTTAGTGACTGTACACTTACAAGTAGAATATCTCCAGGATCTTTTACCTCGTCTTAGAATTAACTAAATTAAGAGTATCTTTTATTTTCAGAGTTTCAGTGAAGATGTGTTCCAGTCGGTCAAGTCTTTATTACAGAGTGAGAAGGAACTATGCAGTGTATCAGCGGAGGACTGTTTAAAGCAGGAGGAACATGCCAATTTGACTGAGGTTTGACATAATACTTTCTATATCTTTTCCTAATAAAACACGGTGTATTTTCATGCTATTTTGTAATACTTTCTATATCTTTTCATAATAAAACACATGGTACTTTTGTGTATTTTCATCCTTTGTAAAGCTGCATCGTCTATTTTTAAATTGTTTAAAATCTCTCTGTATTAATTCAGTATGAGAAGTACCTGTTTTAAATATCCACCAACATAATTGTCTTAGTGTATTATAACGAGCACATTTAATTCAGTGCATAGACATTGTTGATCACTCATTGGACATACAGCACTATGTTAGATGATTCCTGCTGTACTCTGAAACATGAAATATATACTATTTTCGTATATTCATTTTTTTGGCTATTGTTAGTTTTCTTGGTTATTTAAATTCAGCACTTTGATACAAAATGAAAAAGTAGTGATAAATTTATTTTGAAATTAATATATATACTAAAGATATACTAACTACTTGCTCACCTATTTCTGTGCTACATCAGTGTTTCCAGTCTTTGTTTGGATTTATTACTGTGAAAAGAAGTAAATTTTTTCTTGCATTACAGCTGTAGTTAATCAACACATTCATGTTACCAATGTTACCAAATGAGAGAAGTAAGATATTAGGTTATTCAAGCTCAAAGATGATAAGTATGTTAGTTAAAAAAAATTTTTTTTGAAACCAAGGATCTAATAAAAAATAGGGATTTTCTTATATATACATATATATGTATGTATGTGTGTGTGTATGTATATATATATGTGTGTGTGTATGTATACACACACACATATATATATATATATATATAATTTATTGTCAAATGGATTTTCTTATTTTGGGGAATGCTTTTCTTCCATACTCCTTGAGAAACTATACTTGAGATAGTTCCACAGGCTGATGAGCATACCTTTTAGGCCTAGTGTTCTCTGACCCAAGCCTTTTCTATTTGTGTCTGCTAATTTCTGTGGCTCTTGCCTGTTATCTTCTTTGTTATCCCTCCTGCTTTACTTTAGTAAAGCCCAGCCACCCTTAATCTCTTCAGTTGTTGCCAAGTGTGACAGGTCTCCTGTGTCCTTCTGCCCTCAGTTTTCCAGCCTGTTTTCTCTAGCTGCTGACGTAGTGCCTTTCCGAGCCCACATTCCTTGGCAAGGCCTTCCTTGGTCAATGGGAAATATAAAACTACTGGCATCTTCAAAACCCCATGTCAACTTATTTTCTCTTTTGTATACAGTAAAAGGAAACTTGAAAGAATAGCAGGAATTTCTGTCTCACTTGAGGGTGTACATAGCTCAACGTATTTTTTCGAAGAAAGGAAGTTTGTTTTTAAGTGTCTCTTTGTTACTGAGTGCCTGTGCTGTGCCAGGCACTTTCCTCCACATTGTCTTGTTAACCCTCCCAACCGTGGAAGAGGAGTTGTATTGCTTTAAGTTTTATAGATGAGGAGACTGGCTCTTGGAGCCAAACAGTGTACCTAGAAACCTGGAATTAATTGAACACTTTTGGGAAGTAATAACCATATCAGAATAAGGATCCCGGGGTAATAGAATATTGTGACTTGGTTGTAACTCATCAGAAAGGGATCAAAAGTACATTGAGTGTTGCTTTCTGTTTGTACTATGCTGCTTTCCCATAATTCTTGAGAATTGATTATCCATATTGCTGTCATTTAAGTATTTCATATTTTTAGTCATAGTACTTGTTTAGTAGATTTTTGTCTTCAAATGGAAAATTTTCCTTCCTATGATGTGGCAGACCTAAAGATAATATAAATTTTAAAAATAATACTTTTTGGGGGTTACAAAAGTAGTATGTAATGCTTATAGAAAATTAAGAAATACTGAAATCATGAAAAAGAATGCCTGTAATTAATCTTACGAATTAGGGGAAAAGAAAAACATGGTGAAAAAAAGTAGCAAAAAATAAGAACACTTATAATTCTACCATCTAGAGTTAATCACTGCTTACTTGGTGTGTCGCCTTCCAGTATTGTTTTTCATGTGTATGTTTTTAAAAATAAGGTTGAAATTGTGTATATACCTGTGTCATCTTTTCTGTAACTTGTCCTTTTTACATAATGTGACATTTTCTCATGCCATTAGATATTCTTTAGGAATTTAATTTATATAAACTTTTGCAGAGAAATCTCTATTATATGGGTGTTGAAGGAAATAAGTGATAATATCACAGGGAGTCAGTAAGGAGTCTTGGGGGCCTACCCAGGGAAGGCCTCTCTGAGGGGGTGACATTTAAGTTCGCTCTTGAAGAATGAGGAGGAGCGAGGCATGTAAACATCCGAGAAGCAGTGATCCAGGTTGAGGGGGCATTACTGCAAAGCCCTTAGGCATGTTCTAGACCCAGAAAGGGGACCCATGTGTATGACTGTAAGCAAGGAAAGGTTGAAAGCACCAGTTAACCCAGAACCTTGGAGCCTCAGTTAGGACTTTGCAGTGGGAGGTGTGGAAGGGTTTTGACAAGGAGGTGACATCATTCCTGAGACCGGGTGGGACAGGACTGTAGTCATGCAGGGAAGTGGTGGCAGGGGCATGGAGAGAAGCGGACGTATAAGAGATGGGTGTGTGGAGTAGAACTGATTGAATTTGCGAATGGAGTGGACGTGGGGAAGGTTGAAGAGCTGCATTACGGAGCCACATCTTTGGTAAAAATCCTTTGTGGTGATCTTTGAAAATTTGAATCATTTTGTCCATGGCAGCATTTAAAAAATGTTTTTAATTGAGGTATAATCAACCTGTAGCATAATTAGTTTCAGGTATATTACAGAATGATTCAACATTTGTATATAGCAGTCAGCATTTTAACATTTTATGTGCTTTTTTCTATTTCTCAGCTCTGTCAATAATTGAGATAAGACTTAAAAACTCAATGGAGATTTATTCCTTTTTTATTCAGGTCACATTTCTAGGTTTTAATGAAGAAACAGATGCCGCTCACATACAGGTATGGTTGATTTATTGAACTGGAAAAGATCATGAGAAATTATTTGGAACAAATTTTGAGACCATGAAATTTGCCTTATTTGCCTAAAATGTACATTCAACTCTTCTGTTATCATTCTTATTTGAAGCTAAAAGATGACATTTTGAGATCTGCTTTTGAGTGTGCTTTGGGCATTTTCACTTCTAGCATTTTCAGAGTATTCTTGTTACAGAGAGCACTTTTAGGTTAGGAGACCACAAGTGTGATATATCTGAGAAGGCTGCAAGCCACAGGCTAACTTTCCTTCCATTCTGTGCATAATGTAGAAAGTAAGACTTCTTTTTTATTTTGGATGGCCTTAAAATCTGATTTCCTCAGATTATTATATTTTTAATTGAGATAGTGTTAAATTTACAAGGCGAACTTTGTAAAAACTAATGATTAGCTAATGCAAAAATTTTAGCCTGATTTTGGCAGGTATTTAGAGAGAGACTGGTAGTTGAGATTATGATCAGCAAAGGAAAGTTTCACAGTTACATAAAGAGGGTTGAAGCTCTTGCAGATGTGGTAGGCAAAAGTTTTTTTTTATACCTTATGCTGCTTCTTAATATTTGTGGTTGCCACGTGTTTCCTTTTGTGGTAGTAAAGTGTCTCCTAATAGAAGAGGTAATACCGTTCACTTCTTTATGAATAATGCATATCAGGCGATAATGAAAATTCTGCCATGTGTTTTGATTGTGCCCTTGCCTGAGGAAATAGTTTATTTTTATTTAATTGTTGAAAGTGTATTTGTTTTGAGATGTGTGTATATGTGTGCACACGTGTAGGGGAGGGGCAGAGAGAGAATCCCTAACAGGCTTCACACTGTCAGCCCTGATGGAGGGCTTGAACACGCCAACTGTGAGATCGTGACCTGAGCCGAGACCAAGAGTCGGACGCTTAACTGACTGAGCCACCCAGGCGCCCCTGAAGGAAATAACTTAGAAGGCGCAAGAGAAGACATATTCCTGAGAACATAAGGCTGAAAAGAGAAGTGTTCTGAAGTATTTTTTTTTTTAATGTTTATTTATTTTTGAGACAGAGAGAGACAGAACATGAGCAGGGGAGGGGTAGAGAGAGAGAGGGAGACACCGAATCCGAAGCAGGCTTCAGGATCTGAGGTGTCAGCACAGAGCCGCACTTGGGGCTCGAACTCACGAACTGTGAGGTCATGACCTGAGCTGAAGTCAGATGCTTAACCGACTGAGCCACCCAGGCACCCCTAAAGTATTTGTCTTGTAATCTAGTTCCTCTTTAAGAGTTACTGATAAAGCCATGTTTATAAAGGAAAGTACTCTTTGAGGGGTCAAAGACATTAATAATTCTTTCACTGGGTTAAATATTTACATAAAAAGGACAAATAAGTAAAATAATAAAATCTATTTTCTTTATATCTTCATAAATTTTTCAGTTAAAATCTAATACAATATGTTGGAGAGGAAAGGCCGAAAAATAGATTTGTATTTTGCAAATGTAAAACTTAAGCTCCAAGAAGTACATTCTATTGGGAAGAATCTCTATATGTATGAAAATTCCATGGTTAACCTGAAGATTGCAGGTTGATATTTGCAGCTAAAAACTCTTAAAAGCCTAATTGTCATGGATTCAGGAGGTACCATGTAAAAATGCTTTGTAGCTTGATATCAGTACTTGAAAAGGCTGCAGAAACAGCAGGTATTACAATATTTTAGTACATTTTATTTTTAACTTAAATTGATTGTGTATGATAAACTATATTAACTATTTTGAACTGGAAATTATATTAACCAGTGGACCTTATGATTTTCAGACAAAGCCCACATTATAGGAGTCTTAACAAAAGTGTTATGGGGCAGCTGGGTGGTTCAGTCGGTTAAGCGTCTGACTTTGGCTCTGATCATGATCTCACGGTTCATGAGTTTGAGACCTGAGTCAGGCTTTGCACTGACAGTACAAAGCCTGCTTGGGATTCTCTCTCTCTCTCCCCCTCTCTCTGCCCCTTCTGCATGCGTGCTCTCTCTCTCTCTCTCTCAAATAAACTTAAAAAAAATTTTTTCTTAAAGTGTTATTTATTGTATCGTTTTAAATTAGGATTTAGCTGCAGTTTCTTTGGAACTTCCAGATCTTCTGAATTCACTGCACTTCTGCAGTCTAAATGAAAATGAAATTATTTGTATGAAGGATATAAATAAATCATCAGATGGAAACAATGGTTCTCCAAATCAGGTAACTTTTATATATAATTTCTAATGAGTTTTTCAGGGCAAATTTTACAGTGACACTTGATGGACAGTATTAAACTTTTAAATGCTTCAAGTTTCTTTTTTTATAAATGCTGTCTCAAGGAAATACTATTTATAAGAAACATAACTCATGAAGCTTTGAAATTACTGAAGGATTGAATAACTTTGGCGATAGCTTTCAATTAGATTTTTCATGTGTGAAGTTCCCTAAATGATAATGCCCAGTACATATTAATTTGTTTTAGAAAATACATTTCTGGGTTTCTTGAATTTCTTCTACCTTTGTATAAACTATAGGCACTTTCCCCTTTTATGACCATTTCCAAATTTATATAAATATTGTGTTTTAGAGAACATACTTTAACTTGTTTTCTGGCTAAAAAAATTCAGTGTAAAGTGGACATTGGAAGACATGTTCTTTATTTGTAAATAAAAATGTCACCATTTCAGACAGGTAGGTAGTTTTATAACCTTCAGCTTTCAGTTCTTTACTAAGTATTATTTTGTTAATAATACATCAAAGATAAATGCTTTGAGGGGCGCCTGGGTGGCGCAGTCGGTTAAGCGTCCGACTTCAGCCAGGTCACGATCTCGCGGTCCATGAGTTCGAGCCCCGCGTCGGGCTCTGGGCTGATGGCTCAGAGCCTGGAGCCTGTTTCCGATTCTGTGTCTCCCTCTCTCTCTGCCCCTCGCCTGTTCATGCTCTGTCTCTCTCTGTCCCAAAAATAAATAAACGTTGAAAAAAAAAAAATTAAAAAAAAAAAAAAAGATAAATGCTTTGCATTTTTTACCTCCTAAAAATTGAGTTAGTGGGTTTAAAATTTTAGTTACTTATTATTCCAAGTATTAAAAAACTACAGTGTTCATATGGAGGTCTACAGATAACAATAGAACTGCTTGCCTCATTTCCTTAATTATATTCTTCATTTATATTTACTTTGTTTTATTTGCTAGGATTACAAGAGGTGATTAGCTATTTAGTTTCCACCTTTTCCAATAAGTCATTTGTCAATATTTGCGTTTTTTAAGAAAATATATATGGAAAAAATCTGATGACTTAGATTCCTAATCAAAGCTGTAAACATCATGGTAAATTGTAAAACGAGGGGAATTTAGCTCAAAGTAGGGGAAGATTCTTTTATAATAGGAGAGAAGGTGGTATCATGCTGGAAGCCACTGTAAAATGGGATACAAAAATAGAACAGAACCTGGTTCTTGCCCTCATGCAGTTTACAGTATAGTTGGTGAGCTAGGTTAATGAGCAAGGGAACTCCTAGGGCTTATAGTAATATAGGAAAGCATAATTGCCAAGGGTATGGGTGGTAAGTTCTGTAACATTTAAGGAGCTAGAGGAGGTGGAATTTGAATGCCGGATGGGAGAAAGATTGGGAGGAAAGGAGATTGGGAAGTGAGAAATGTAGAGAAAGAATGAAGAAAAGAATTAAACAGTACAAAATCAGGGAGCCTTCCAGGATCCATGCATTTCTTTTTTTCCCGAGATTGTGTTATTTCTAGACTTCACTTTCCAGATACTGTGCTTTGTTTGTATAATACGTGTTGAAATTAAAATTATTTTTTATCATCTTTCATCTTCCCCAAGAGTCACCATTCTGGAATGCTCTGTGTCATGAGAGTGTCACCTACATTACCAAGGCTCAGAATTGATTTTATCTTTAGCCTGCTAAGTAAATACGCTACTGGTATAAGATATACCCTGGACACATACTTGCATCAGAAACGCCAACTTGAGACTGCTCAGGAAGATGATGACGACACCAACCAGTCCGTGTCTTCCATAGAGGATGACTTTGTCACTGCTTTTGAGCACTTAGAGGAAGAAGAGCCTTTAAAGCCATTTACTGATGGTTTGTTCTTTATTAGACTTTCTCTTGAAATAGGAAATTAAAGTCTGATGTTCAGTTTTAAAAGTTTTAAGGCTGCCTGTTCCATTGAAATTTATTTTGAAATTTGATACCGTTTAAGCATTTTACCTGTTTGTTTTTTTGATTGAGCAAGGAATTTTTCTTACGATTTTTAAGTTCATTGTTACCTGGTTTTTAGTTTTGCTATTTCTGTTCTTATTTTGGTAGTACTGTTCAAGCAGTGTTTGCTTCATTACATTAAGTGTTTGGACCATGTCTGGGTTCAAATTTGAGAAGGGTTAGCTGGCAGAGGGACGATATTAGTGTTTCTAACACACAGCGACAAGAAACTAAGCATTTTGTAGACCCAGATATTCCCATGTGTGAGGTAAAATGAAATTATGTTAGTGAAAGGTGTATTTGCTCTCAAATTCATTTGGGAGGAATCTGGTAAACCACAGAGTGTAGAAGTCATTTATGTTACAAATAAATATTTCATGCTTAAAGTCTACTTATTCCCATTGATGTGAATTAATTTTTAAAAGATTCTGTTCAAGAATAATTTGATCACTTTATTCTTTTCCTATAGGAATAAACATTGCTGCACTAAGGAGCCAGTGTGATGCTGCTTCACAGACTTCTTCTGGTCACCATCTAGAAACCCATGATTTAAGAATTCTGGTTAGCTCTGGGAGGCAGAAGTCATTGGCTAAACCTTCAACTTCTTTAATAAATATGCTGGGACATAAAGAACTACCTTCTGTGAAAACTTCAGTCACAACACTAATTTCTGAGCCTTGGATCCAAAAGAGTTTCTATAGATCATCTAATGCTTCAGATAAAGTTAGTGATACACAGAAAATGTTTTTTTCTTCTTCTCCTGCCTATTCCTCTGAATCTGAATGCTCAAGTCCAAGTCCTGTTATTTTCTTGGATGAAGAAGGATATCAAAAAAGTTTAAAAGCAAAACTTGAGTTACCTAAAATTCCCGTGATGAAAGATGATATAGAGGATTCAGATTCAGAAGTAAGTGAATTTTTTGATAGTTTTGATCAGTTTGATGAGTTAGAACAAACTTTAGAGACTTCTTGTCCATTTCTGAAAGATCCTGTTGTAGGGAAGCCGTCGCAAAAGAAAGGACACAAACATGAAAAATCTTGTTCTGTAACTACTACTATGAATCCTCAAAAATTCAAGTTTGAGCGTCCAGCTCTCCCAGCTAACGTTAGAAAGCCAACTCCTCGTAAACCAGAATCCCCTTACAGTAATCTGTGTGATGCCCCGGATTCACCTCGCCCAGTGAAGGCGTCAGGGGAGGACAGTGGTTTGTTTAGCCCTATTCGATCCTCTGCCTTTAGCCCTCTTGGAGGTTGTACTCCTGCTGAATGTTTTTGCCAAACAGATATTGGTGGAGATAGGATTCATGAAGATCATGATTCTGTTTATTACACCTATGAGGATTATGCAAATAGCATCTCATGTAAGGTTCTGGGCTCTGTTCTTCATACCCAACATACTAATGCCACATCAAACATTAATAGCATTAAGAAGGGAGAAAATAAAACCATAGCTCTTCACAGTGGAAGCCTTGATCAAAAAAGTAAATCTAAAAATAAATCCTTGATGATTAAAGATACTATTCAGAAATTTGCCTCGGACCTTGTGGAAAAAAGTTTTGGCAGTGCATTTAAAGACTTACAGAAAGGAGTCTCTTCGTGTACCAATGCGTTGTGTCACCTGGCTATCAAATTGACATCCTCTGTTTTTCAGATGGCATTTAACGAACTGAGAAGGCAGTGTGCGTTTTCACTGAGAGAACGTGCTGTTAGTGGTCTGGCTAATTTTTTGGTGAGTGAAGCTTTATCAAATGCTTTCAGGGATTTACAGTATGTAAAAAAGCAGATATTCACAAACACAGTCGCTCGGTTTGCTGCGGATCTTGCTGAAGAGCTTGTTTTTGAAGGCATCATGGAGGTGTGTCAGTTTTCCTGTCCCCCAACACCCGCATCTCCACAGTGTTGGCCGTTTGACTATGAAGACAAAGCAGTGAAGTCCTACGCTAAAGACCTGTCTGAGTCTGTATTACAGGAAGCGTTCATCGAGCTTTCACAAGCCGGCGTGACCTTCTCAACCAAGGCAGCAGTTAGTGTTTCCACAGATACCATAAAGGATGCCAGTGCAGGAAATTTAGCGCCACCGACACAGACCTTGACGTTTTCCCCTGCTTTTAACAACCAGACCCTCATGGAGACAAAACCCATGCAGGAACATAAAAAGGAATACACAGTACAGCAGGCCTTGTTTTGTACTTCTGGAATTGTTACTTCGATACCAGTACCCTTGGCAGGAAGTGCCCTTCTCCCATATCATATCTCATCTAATATATATCAGTCAAAATCTCGTCGGTCATCGGATGATAGTAATTTGAATGGCGATTCTATCCAGACATGTGTTACCACAAAAAACAAAGACGAGGAAGTAGCGTGTCTCAGAAATATTTGTTTACCCTCAGACCACAATCCAGGTAACCAGAATGATTTTAAACCAACTAATGATGCTGCTGAAGTGCAGAGCTCTTCAAAGTTAACAAGTGATCCTGTGATTATTAACAACTTTTCTGCAGCAATGGTGCATACGATTGTAAGTGAAACTTTAGAGTCAATGACATCATTCAAATGTACAAAAACAGTTGATGAACAAACAGATGGTGTAACTAAAACAGTAAAGGGAGAAACCCTTCCTTTCTGTTCTGATCAAGCAACAGTGCAACAGAGAGAAGTTAGCAATAAGGATATGTTTGCTGATCGATTATCTAAATCTATTATTAAACATTCCATCGATAAAAGCAAATCAGCGATCTCAAATGTAGATAAAAATGCTGAACGCAAGGAAGACTTGCTTGTTCCTGGAGAAGAGTCACAGTTGACCTTGGAAAAGTTCCCCAAATTTCTCGATGCTCAAGATCACTTAACCCCCTGTTCACTTTCAGTAGGAAAGGACTGTGTTCCAGAATGTAAAGGTTCTATAGCTCATGGATTTTCTTTAGAGACACCGCAGCCTTGTCCGACAATTGTGGGTCAGAAACCTGATTTGAAGGAAGTTGCTAAAGACAAATCCATGAAAAAGGATAATTTGAATAATGCAGCACTTGAGCCCTTGTGTTTTGGTCAAGACCACCCTTGTCCTCATTCACATACTTTCTCCTCTACAGTGCTTACGTGTGTAGATGGTTTGCACGTGGAAGATAAACAGAAGATTAGAGACGGCAATGTGATACCCGATACTCCTCCATCCACTCCTCTAGTACCATCCCAGGCTAGTTCTGAATGGGATATCAAGAAGTTGACCAAAAAGCTCAAGGGGGAATTGGCAAAAGAATTCGCACCTGCTACACCACCCTCTACACCTCACAACTCATCTGTTGGTAGTTTGTCTGAAAGTGAACAAAATACTATAGAAAAAGAAGAGTTCATGTTGAAACTCATGCGATCTCTTTCAGAAGAAGTGGAAAGCAGTGAAGACGAAGAGCATCCAGAAGTGGATGTGAAGTCAGAGCACTCAGGGAAGAAAGTTCAGTTTGCGGAATCGTTAGCTACGCACATCATTTCTCTGGCCACAGAAATGGCAGCTTCCCATTTAGATAATAAAGTAACTCAGGAACCCAAGGTTAAAAGCCCTTGCTTAACTGTGAAGAGTCAAAGAAGTGTGTCACCTACTGCTTTAAGTCACTCAGAGGAAAACTTACAAATATTATGCAATTTTGCAGGTGACCTGGCAGCAGAAGTCATTACGGAGGCTGAGAAAATAGCAAAAGTTAGAAGCTGTGTGCTTTTCAGGCAAAGGAGGAATAGTTGTTACGTGGACGGTGGCCGAGACGATAGATCAGAAGAGAAGTTGGAGATGGAGGCTCTGGCAGACCCCAAAGAAGTAGATCCATCCAGTCTTTCATTACCACCAAGTTCTTGCGTGTCTGGTCTGACGTACAAGTATCCCAGCTGTGAAAGCGTGACAGACGAATATGCAGGTCACATTATCCAAGTGCTCAAACAGGAAGGTGGTAATAGTGAGTTAATAATGGATCAGTATGCCAATAGACTTGCCTATCGATCTGTTAAGTCGGGATTACGAGAAGCAGCGAAGGCAGCCCAAATGAAGTGCAGCTCAAAAATGTTCTCCGTGCAGAGCTCACAGGTGACAACCAAGAACGACCTCTTAATATTCTTAAATAAAGAACACCACCAAGAAGTGGATCACGAACGACAAAGTAAAAGAAGTGGAGTTTACCTTTGCAAAAATAAAACTTGTGAATGGACGCTGGATACATACAAAAATGACTGCTCTGAACTGTATAGTTTTTCAGCCTCTCTTGCTCACAGCATAACAAGAGATGTTAAAAAAGAGCTGACAGTGTCTACAGTTGGCTTGCCAAAATCCTTAACAGATTCTTGCCTTTATGAAAAGTCTGGACGTGATGAAGAAACCAGATCGCCCGCTGAGCCAGAATTTCCTCAGGCTCTTCAGCCTTCCCCGCAAAATCACAGATTTTACCACAGTACAGGCAGCTTAAATGGGTTTGGTTATGGAGAGAGTGTGGTTCAAGCTATAGAACAGTATGCGAAAAAAGTAGTGGATGATACCTTAGAGCTCAGTTTAGGATCTGCAGTTTTCCATACGTCTGAGTCCACAAAAGCAGCTGATAGGGTCACTTATGCAGAAAAGTTGTCACCTCTTATAAGTCAACCCTGCAGATATTGTGACCGTAAAGAACTGCATGACTGCACTGGAAATTCATCTCAACATGTTTCCAGGCAGGATTCACTTGCTACTAGTCAGCCAGCTTCTAAATCAAAACTTAGCAACATCTATCAGGAATCTAGAATTTTTCATCTTGATGTCCCACAAATTCATGTTGGTCTTGATAAGAAGACAGTGCTTGCTGAGAAGATAGTTGCTGAAGCTATTGAAAAAGCAGAGAGGGAACTGAGCAATACCAGTTTGGTGGCTGATAGCGGGATTGGACAGGATGGCGTTAGCTTTGCTGAAAGCCTTACCACAGAAATAATGACGTCGGCGATGACCAATGTTGGACGTGCTGTTAGCAGGTGAGTCTCAGATTTCTTTTGGGTCTTAGGATAAAATGAAACGTTAAACTTGGTCATATGGGTCTTAGGTCCTGTTCCAAAAGGTACAATTATTTTTAACCCCTAAGTTAACAAAAAATTTTCCATACTACATTTGTGTATTGTTTCATATCCTGTACGTTACTCCTCGTCTGTGTTGTCTCATTTTTTCCCCAGCAGCCCTCTGAGGGGAGGTGTTAACCATCTCCCAAGCTGGAAAAAAGAAGCTTAGGGAGGATGGTCACCTTGCCTCGTTCACAGAGCTACGAAGTAGGTAAAGCTGGATTGAAGGAACAGCTGGAGGGTTTTATACAGCAAATGTATAAAGCAAATGATAACCAACTACTCTGAGATTAAATTTTTTTATAGTGTTTTATTTTTTTCTCTTCACAAAGGTAAGTTGTCTTATAAAGAACATAATTTAACCAATTGCTGTGAGGAAGAAAGCTTTAAAAACTCTCCAAAGATTTTCACTGCTGCTATCACTTCTTTTTTTTTTTTTTAAGATTCTTTTTTTAATGTTTATTGTATTTACTTTTGTTGGGGGGAGACAGAGAGTGAGCAGGGGAGGGGAGAAAGAGACAGACAGACAGACAGACAGAGACAGTATCTGAAGCAGGCTCCAGGCTCCGAGCTGTCAGCACAGAGCCCAACACGGGTTCTCCAACTCACAAACCGCGAGATCATGACCTGAGCTGAAGTCGACGCTTAACCCACTGAGCCACCCAGGCGCCCCTCCCTTCTCTTGATAGGCCCCTATCTAAGGGGACATTTCTAAGAGCCTCACAGGGTCTTGTGCTGTGTCTTGTGCTCAGAGACTCTGACACCTGAGTTCAGATTTGCGCTTTTAACCTTTTTTGCCTCCCTGGGAAGCATCAGGATCATCGCTGTTATTAGTTGGTAGGATTTTGTTAGTCCCACTGAAAAGAGAAAGTTCCTAGAGTTGGGGTGGGATTTAATGGAGTCACAGGATTTTCTCAGATTTTTTAATGGCTTTTGTCAAAGCCGTGGCAATGTCTGTCTCTCTTCTTAGCCATCTTAAAATAGGGAGGTGGTTTGGTGAGGACCTTGGACTGCAGTTGTTCCATAGCGTCCTCTTGACCTGTTTCTGGGCGGTCCCTACCAGGCAGCCTCCTTTCTCCTAGAGCAGGAGTTGGCACACTATAACCCACAGGCCAGATCTGGCCACTGCTTTTTGTTTTATTTGTAATCATCTGTGAGCTAAGACTGGTGTTTACATTTCCTCGGTGGTTGATAAATCAAAAGAATACTATTTTGTGATGTGAAAATTATATGAAATTCAAATTTTATGTTTCTCAATAAAGTTATGCTGGGACACAGCTGTGCTCATTCATTTATGTATTGTCTGTGGCTGATTCTATGCTTTAGTTGCAGAATTGAGTAGTTGGAATAGAGATCTGTGGCCAACAGTGCCTAAGTGTTTGCTCTTTGGCCCTTTACGGTAAAAATTTGCAAACTTTTGTCCTAGACCTGCACTTTCTTTGTTCGTGATTACCTATCAGTTCTTAATATGATGATAGACATATAAGAAGTGGTTAATAAATACATGGATAAATAAGCTGTAGTAAACTAGGCTTTTCTACCCCTGTAGCAACCTTCCTCAAATAAAATTAGCCTCAGACTATTTTAAGTGTGTCTCCCTGTGCCCCTCCCCAGGCCTGTGGGATCACCTCTAGATTGGATCCAATCACCTCTAGATTGGAGTCTCTAAGACATCCCTCGAGGGCCTGGCAAATGCTATTGACAGCTCAGTATTTTCACTTTCCCTTCCTACTCCCTTGGGTGAGTAAGTCAGCCCTTGGACTTGTTCATATAAGCTGGTGCTGTCTATTCCAACGTTTTGTCAAGGCCAGTGGAATATTGCTTTGTATTTCTTTTCCCTTTTCTCTTCTTTTCTTAATAACTGGGCTAGGGTTCTGTAAGTGCTGATCGTTAAAAGTTGACTCTAGTGTGTATAGTGTGCTGTTTCCCAGTTTCTGTTTCTGATGTTAAAATGGTTTGCCTTTGAAGCTTTAAGGGGGATTCATTCAGATGGATTATTTTTAAAGGTATCGTTTGGATTCTTTCACTAGTGTCCCCTTTCTTGCAAATGTTTGATTCATGAAAATCACCATAAATATTTCACAGAGCTATAATGTACAGAAGGGTGGTATGTGAGTATTAAATGGGGAATTATATGGTAGTGCATTTTTAGAAGAGCAAACATCTAAACTGTATTCTGAGCTGTTATTTATGAGCCAGAATAACTCAGCAGTCATTAAAACTCTTCTCTGGACCTCATCTAGTGGGTCATTTCAGCCAAAAAACCATTAGATTGTGGCACATTCCAGAGAAGTGTTAAAAAAAAAAGAACAAAGGAGTGCTCCATTATGGCTCAAAACTGTAATGTGCCTGTCCACTATAATTCTGGTTGCTGTATCTTAAATATAAAATGAGGATAGCCCCCAAGGGGGTGGGCAGTTCAGGATCTATCCCAGGCACTGGGAATACAGAAATAAGTAAGACGGTCAAAGATACGTGTTCTCTGGAGCTTATGTTCCAATGGAATAAGACAAAGAAGTAAAATACGAAATTTGTCACAGAGTGATAAGGGCTTTGGAGGAAAACTAAAAGAAGAGAGGTGGGTAGAGGTGGGGTGGGGTGGGGTGACGATGGATGGTGGTGGTCAGTGGCAGCAGGTGGGGATGGTGGGCAGTAGCTAGGGAAGCAACACTGAGTAACATTTGAGCAAAGAGCCCAGGGTGAAGAGAGAAGAAGTCATGTGGGAATTGGTACCAGAGGGTACCAGACAAAGGGGTAGGATTGTGCATGTTGGGGAAATAGCACAGAGGCTGCATGGCTGACGTTGGTGAGCTGGGGAGAGTAAGAGGTGAAACAAGATGGAGGGAATGACGAGAGGGAACCATACCAGCAAGTATAAGGATCTGGACTCTGATCGGTGAGAGGCCACCAGAAGGTTTTGATCAAAAGACTAACGTTTTTCCTCATCATCTTTAAAAATAGAATTTTTAAACTGTTAAGTTGAGAACAAAATACAGAGTGGGCAGTTAGAGTAATTGAATAGTGAATGGCCTTTCTTGTGAAGATGGAATAAAAATGTAAATGTCTCTTCATCATTGAAAAAAATAATGAGAAGGGTTATGATCCGTGCTCAAAATTTTAAAGAGATCTGGCTGGTTTGACTGTAGGCTTGATTGACAGTAGTTGAATTCCTCAAACTGCTTTTTTGTTCTTAAAGCCAGAAAGAGCTTCCTGTCAGTACAAATAAAAGTACAGCCTTAAAAGTAGGTGGTAAACTTAGGAACTTGTGCTCCTCTATAGAGGTCCCAGTTAAAATATGAACTGCTTTAAAGACAATTTAGATAAATGTAGCACTTGGGGTGGATCCATAACAGATAGAGCTCAGTTCACTTTGAAATTAGTATGCTCTCCTTCAAAGTCTCTTCATTAGCAGACACAAAGTGTTGGATGGGCCACTGGTGTGGCTCTGAATATTGTGTCTTGTTTTTGTCCTCTTTATCGTCAAATTGATAGCCTTAGAATTCAGAATCTGATGCTTTCGGATTGGTTTTCTTTTTCCCCTCCCTCTCTCCCTTCCTTCCTTCTAGTCCAAAAGAAATAGAAGACTTTCAGTCAACTGAGTCTCTGGGCAGCCAGCAGCTGAACCTCAGTATTGGTGATGACAGCACTGGCAGCTGGTCCAATTTAAGTTTTGAAGATGAACACCAGGATGAGAGCAGCAGTTTTCATCACCTAAGTGAAAGGTAACTGAAGTTGTACGTGTGATCCTCAGACCTCAGAAGTAGCTTTACACCGGGGGGTTTGAGAATTATGAATTTGAAAATTCTGCCATTGTTTTCAAAACGTATTTTATTATCCATAGTACGGTTCTAATGGTTTTGCACATTTATTAGATACAGTTACAAGCCAAGCTAATTTTCTTTGGGTGTGCCAGTAGTTGGTATGAACAATACTGCATACATTTGGATTTATACCCTGAGGATTTTCCCAGACTTTTGTGAACTTTTGATGGAAAAAATGTATTTCTTACTTTAAAAAGGGTACTTTTCTTTTTCTTTCTAGTCTGGGGTAAAGGACAGTTATCTGTAAAAGGTATCAAAATGGCCCTGTAATTTTCTTGTTATTAGTTAAAGTAATATCTTCCTGGAGAAGGAGTTCTCACTTAGCCTCTATTGAGGAACAAAATGACCTAGAGCATTTATATGTGACTGACTGGAAATAATACATAAACTCATCATAAAAATATGGTTTTGTACAGCAGAAAGCACTTAACCTCATATATAACTTTTCTTAGTTAATTTTGTTCATAATAACAGTCCTTTGAATATTTTATTAATTGCAGTACATTTTTTTCTTATATTCTTAACTCTATAAAGGCACTCCTGACTAAACTATAAAATGCCATAAAAAAAAAAATTCTGACCCACATTAATTGATAATTGGAAATAATAAATGCCCTCCACAGCTGAGTGTAGGGAGAGGAAAGGGTTCTTAGTTTCAGGCTGTGGAAGGGACCCTGTGAGGCTTCAGTTGAACAGAACCCTTGGAAGTGACTGAGCAGGAGGGGGAGGCGAGAAGACCATGGAAGGAGGGGAGGAAGGAAAAGAAATGGCTTTTCACCTGTTAGAACACATCATCTCAGAGCATTTTGTTTGATGCTTGGATTAACCAGTATTAATATTTTTATAGAACATCTGTTCTGTCATAGTTTCTTAAAATGCTGTGTAAACCACCAATACATCTTAAAATCGAGTTCCCAAAAGGCAGTCTTTAAAAGTGGTAGTGGGACGTAGGGGTAATATCACAAACATCATGTGGCCTTTTCCATGACTCTAACCTGGTATAGGAAGTTAACACTAAAATTCTTCTCTCATCTTGGAGAAATACGGGTTTCTAGAATTTCCATGAGGGTTGATGTTGTTGCTTTGGAAATCCTGGGGTTAAAATGAGAGAACCAGGGTTAGTCGCCCGTGGCATTAAGGGGCCTGTCGCCAGTAGAAGAACCCTGCAGGATATTGTCCGATTTGATGGCTCTGTCTTTGGTTCTGTCCTCTTTTGCATTTTATTAGTGCTGGAGAGTAAGGAGTCCTTCCCCACTTCCTTATCTGTGGTTTTTCTTTTCCGTGGTTTCAGTTACCCGCAGTCAGTCAAGGTCCAGAAGAAGATGGCCCTCCTTCTGACATGTTGTCAGAAGGTCATTGTAGCCTAACATTATGTTACTATGTTACTGTGCCTGCATCACTGGCTGCACTTCATCTCAACACGTAGGCAATTTATCTTTTCACCTCATCACAAGAATAGTGAGTACATACAATAAGATGTCTTGAGAGACAGGCACCACATTCACATAACTTTTATTACCATATATTGTTATAATTATTCTAGTTTATTGTTAGATTTTGTTGTCAGTCTCTTACTGTGCCTAATTTATAAATTAAGCTTCATCGTAGGTATATATGTAAAGAAAAAAACCATAGTATATATGGGGTTCAGTACTATCTGTGGTTTCAGGCACCCACTGGGGGTCTTGGAATGCAGTCCCTCCACAGATAAGAAGGGACTACTGTGCTCATTATGTGTGAATGACTTAAAACGAAAATTAAAAAAAAATCTCTTTAACAGAACCAAGTTTC